CACTCTCTTGCTCAATCTTTTTAGGTTTAACGAGAGACATCACCTCTTCTCTCTTGAGATATAACCCAGCGAGACGATACTCACCGCTGCAAGAACTTGAGTGAGTGAGAATGAAGAAAAAGGAGAAGAATTTCCATTATTTTCATTTTTAACATTCGAGCCAATATGAGTTCCTTTCTGACACGCGGCCAACCGCTCTCTCGTTCCTGACTCGCATTCCGCCTCAAGAATGTTTATTACATCTTTCAAGGCTTCTAGCTCAGTCATTTCCATTTTAGTACTCGAGATTAATTTCAAAAGGATGTCTTAGGGAGAAAATTAGTTTTGAATATTCCTTTTTTTTCAACTCGGAAATCTTTTTCAACCTCTCAAATTTCGTCAATCCTCCTCCGTAATTGTCAAAAATCTCTTTCATGTCCCTCCGAGAAGGGTATAGAACAGGACCAAAAAGGTGATATTCTTGCAGAATGGCTTGGCGATGCTCGTCATCTGCTGAGTTGTTACCCAGACCTGATTCCACTGTGTCTCGCGCTGAATGCCAAGTTTACCAACTCATTCATCCTCTTTTTCACATCCTTCGAACTGGTGCAATCATCGAGAATGATCAGGGAATTTGTTCCCTCAAACACGAAACTCACTATCCTCAGCCAATCATTGATTTGATCTTGATTAGGAGACAACATGAAGAAATCTGTCATCCTCGGCAAAACCCTGATATATCCTATTGAATGTATAAGTCGGACAGAGAAGGATCACGTAGTCAAACTTTCCTCTGAATTCATTGTTTAGTATTTCGACCAAATATTTGGTCTCTCCCGAGTTCGTGGGACCGACTATCAATGCTTTGAACAAGGGGGGAATTTCATATATCCCATGATGCATTGCTTCGAACTATATTATCAACTGTTATGTACCACGTGATCTTCTCATTTCAAAATGGACGCGATCAAGGAAACACGATGGCAGGCTGAACAATTCCGAAATCAAAGCCTTCTTTACCTTTATTGTGTTGATTTAAGTTATGTTTTTGAACTCACAATTCCCAGTTTGCCGTTCTTAAAATTGGAGTGCGTGTTTGCACATGTTTGTTTCCCGTCTTCTCTCTCCGAGAGAAGAATGGTGGTTTTACCTCAAAGTCATAAACTGCTCGGCAAGCTGAAAGACATTACTTCACTGTGTGTTATTGAGACAATTTCAAGCGTGGATTTCGAGGTAAAAAACCTATTCTTTCTTTACTCGATTAACCTATAATTTTGTAAGTGTTAGAGTTTCGATTGTATTTAATGCATGTGCTTTTACGTGGTTTGACAGATTCATCCTGAAGAAGTGGAAGACGACAAGGGTACATTGTTGATTTGGGATTTTCAACTCCAGGAGACGAACCTTTCCGTAACATCATCTCGATGTCTTGTTCGTCTGAAGATTCCTAGTGCACCGAACAACATTCCCTCGATGTCTCCGTTAGACTTGACAGTCGTGGACTGCAACTGCAGTAATTTTCCCCGACGAGGAAACGTCCTTTTAGAAATTGTAGCACAGGGCCCCGCAAGAGGGATACAAAAATTATCAATCTCTGAAAACAATCGTTCAGAAGACGATGAGGTAAACATGGAAGGAAACTTGAGTGAAGAGGAAGATGAGGAGGAGTTTGATTTTGACTCTAGTGTTCCCAACCCCAGCAATGGTGCAAGAGAGTTCATTCCTGATGTGAGTGGTCCTTCAGGTAAAGCGGCTGAAGATTCATGTACCTTATTCACGGAAACTTTCACTTTGAAAGGCAGCAGCTTTCATGAGCATTTCCAGCTTGGTCTAAAGATGTGCAAAGAGGCCTTAATTAAAAAGGACACTGTCCCAGTGAAGCTCGTTTATGAGCCCATTAACCGAAGAGACGAGAACGCTATACTTGTTCACACTGAATGTGTCAACACATGGAGACCAATCGGCTATATACCTGGTATCAAAGTACCCAAAGTAACACAAGCCATTGAAGACAAAGAAATAACAAAGATTGTGTTAACAAATGTAAAATACCAGTTTATTTTTCTTATTTCAAGTTTTAAGTACTTTGCCACAATCTCAATCACTAAGGGAAAGTGGAGAAAAAACAGAGACTCCTATAAGTTTAATGAGGATATTTGATTTGTCATCAGTTTCCATGAGTACATTTCGACTCTTCAAGACAGACACCATCGTGCGCACTTACTGTATGTTTGTCCTGCTTATGAGCTTAGTGACTGAATAACAGCATGCAGAGACCAACCCGGTGTCCCAATTTGGAGGTGTCAGTGAATGAAGGGTTGATTGTTGCATAAATGGATATTTTGTTGCCTTACATTATTAAGAGCAAGGTTTCAAGAAATATTTTGCATTTCTTTGGTCACGAAACTTCTTTCTCCCCAAACAGTGTTCAATAGAGCTGTCACTCTATTGAACATCATCAAATCTATCCCAAATTCAATTTAATTATCACATTAATTATTATAATTGGACACCATCACTTCAACTAATGACTAATAAGTAACTTTTTATTTAGTTTAGTTCTGTTAAATCAGTTCAGCATCTTTTCTTAAGGTAATTTCCTGTAAACATTTTTTCACTCAAACTCACAGCATTGGAATAATTTAACTACAGAAACATCTTGATATGGCACTAACTTGCCAATAATAATAATTCAAAAGTATATTATAGTGGTTAAATTTTGAAATTTTATATTGCATGTAAACTGTTGTGTCCATGTTACAAGGGATAAGAAATTTGATGGACAATGTTGCAACTGTTAAAAAACGTATGGTAGCTCATGTTGCTCTTGTTAAGGTTATAAATAAATGACTATCACATGAATTTGATAATATTAACCTTGTGATTTTTTTTACAATGCACGACAGCACTGATACGAGACAAGAAACCTAGAAATAAGCGCAAATGCTTGAGATAAACACTTTTCCTGATTCAAAAATGGACAAAAATTTAAACAAACAATATTATTAATCTGACTTAACATGAGGTTTTTTTCCCTTCCTTTCCATTGGCTGAGATCCCACTGCATCACCTTCAAATAAGTCCAGACAACTCTTATTTATAAAATCTGATTTACAACTACAACCTGTAAATTGCTTCAGAACCCACAGTTTAAAAATGGTGTTTTGACTGAGATAGTATGAGAACAAAGTATAAATAATTATTATTAATTTAACATCCACGCATACTTGAGTATCCCTTTACTCGTTAGAGTGTCATTTGGCAAACAACGTCATAACTTTGTGAACATTTGACAGATTTCTATGAATTTTTAGCCCATGAAAATTGTCATGTAAACATCCGCTCATTGAAGGCATAACCTTCCTATCTAAGACATGTTTGACAACACCCACACATTTCCATCTCCTTCATTGCTACTGATGAGCATCTCAGTGGTTGCAAATGGTATATTGCACACAGGCAGAAGAGAGTCTTAATTTGCTGATTTGGGAAAAACTGCCATTTGCCTTAGGGGGTGAAGAGTTATAGGCAGTACCTAGTAATAGATGTAGGTGATGAGACATGACCATTGCACACCTATTGGGCAAGTAATGTATTATTGGGGGCAGCTGTACTGGCCCACTGGGCACCTGGATTTCAAAATACTATTCATGACCTACTTATAAAGCTAAAAATAATCTAATAAATATGCTAAATAATGTTAACAAGCCAATGCACAACCCTTGTACCCAATTTCTTGACAGAATATACCAGATTACCATGGGATGGTATTATTGATGATATAGATTTATATGTAGGAAATTTTGAAACAAATCAGCAAGAGTTAAACTGCTTGATCAAGAATAATAATATTTGGTAAACAAATTGCAGTACTATGATTGTCTTCTGTGGGTCAATGCTTTTTTTGTTGTTTACCTAACAGCAAACGAAACAGTATTTAGCTTTGTTACATCCTCTCCTGAAATTGTCTTTAAACAAAGATAGCCAGCAGGAAACTTGCAGGGCAACCCTGGTATTTTAGAATTTCAATGGTAAATAGACCTGTACAAAAACTAACCCTGAATGAATTCCAGTACTAGGCACATGAAAACACAGCTCTCCAAGCATGCAACTTAAATTTGACAAAGCTTAAACATCCAATATCAAGTAGTTGAAGATAACACAACTTTCAAAAAAAAAGCTATACCTGTTTATGTCAATGGTTGAAAAGTCATAGCACTCGTCATACCAAGACATCCACTCTTCCAAGATGAAGTTCAACATTTGGTAGTTGAACCTGCATCGCTGGAGCTGGCTCAAACCCTGACCATCAGAAGACTCATGCCACTGAGCAACAATCCTTACATAGTTTGCCTCTTCAACATTGCCATGCCTCTGAAGCGAATCTGCAACATGATATGAAAGGAGACGTTCTGCATCTTTTACACTTTGGCGTTGTTTGCCAACCAGGGCTGCATGTGTGAGACTACTGAGTGGGTCAGCTAAGACATCTGAAAAGGCCTCATAGTTAAAGGCCTCATATCCACCATCTCTGATATGTTGAGCAATTCTCTTTAGGAGATGGTTGTGATCAGCACAATCATGTCGAACACTACTGGTAACAGGGTCAACCTCTGGAACATACAGATGCTGAGTGAAATCCACTCCTTCTTCTTGCAGTTCCCTTACCCTGTTCCTGAAAGTGTAGGTGGCAACCAAAGACCTCAGCTTGTCAAGAAGGGATTCTTCAGTATTTTTTCGGAAAGGATAGGGAGTATATCCTGCAGGGACAAGCTTTCCTCTCATGTATGGGACAGCATCCTCCACACTTAGCCCACTATGGATTAACTCATCAAGCTGCAACACTACATGGTCTGGAATGGCACTGTTGGGTCTGGCAACAATAGGACTCCCATCTGCTGCAGCTGAAAATAAGATATCATGGACTATATAGAATATGTTGATGAACAAAACCCCATAAACAATGATCAATGCCATGCATGCATTATTTTGAAGCTGCCACAAGCAATGCTTCATCAGACTAAGAACTTGCTAGTAAACACACCCAAAAAAAACCCAGGTCTGATTGCCCAGGGCAAGTAACTTTTGCTCTTGGGCAAATGAAAATGGAAGATTGTTGGTCCAGTGGTCAAGCAAAAGTAGCAAGTGATATTTTACCAGGGACAACTGGATTTCAAATATTTATTTTAAACTGTTTGACACCAGACATCAGTAAAGACCACTGAAACTATATACATCTAGTGCAGTTAAAACATATCCGTACTATTTTCATCAGTACTGCATTTCTGTAAAACAACTTACTGTTGGTCAAAATCAGCTTTTCTAGCAAAGTGTCTTTTCTCAACTTTTGTACACTTTCCCGGGCATCATGGATTAACTGCCATAAGTGAAGAGCCCTTGTTTCACCTCTTGATTGAAGAGAACAGAACTCTCCATCTGTAACAGTGCCTACAGGAGATAGAGGATGGCAATAGCAAATAAATTATCCCAGAATTTAACACTGAGTGTTACAAACTGGAACTAATCTTTATAAATGATAAAATGAGGAAAAATTGGTATAAACTGTTTGACATTGAAATGTTGATTTAATTTAACCATTCTGCTTTCCAAATATTAAACAACTTTAAATTCAATAGCATTTATTATTAATATTAATGTTGTTTTGTTAGTTAATTTTGTTAAACTCATCCAAGTCAATATTAATTAATTACAGGAAAAAGACCTGTCTTTTAAAACAAAAGTGAATGAAATTTCTAGCCGAACTACCATTCATATCACGCTTACAAACAAGATTTAGTCCTCTGTCTTGCATTACTCATGTCATGAGCAACATCATATCATTATTCATATCATGCTTACCTACAAGATTTAGTCCTCTCTCTTGCATTACTCGTTTTACATCCTTGTTCAGATCATGAATATACTGGTCCCTCAAACTCCAGTAAGGAACATATCTAATTGGCAGGGCATACAGCTTATGGCTCCTTCTTTCGTCAGAGAGCATTAGGACCAAAACATGAGTTGCTGCTATTCTCTTCTTTTTGAACAGGTTTCGAAGGTAAGTTTTGGCCTTGGAAAACAGCCCTCTAAGAGAGGTCCTGATGGCCCCCAGATCATGTCCTACGACTGGGTTTAGGTAGCTAAGTTGCTCCTCGTATGCCCCCTTCAGCTGTTGAGCTTGCTGCAGAAGTGTTTGAAACTCCACAATGTTCCAGTTTGCACTCTTCAGCTTTTCTTCAGGTGTTGACCTGTTGTCAAATTTCTTCCTATAATCTTCAACAGCCGACTTGAAACCCTCATCAAGGAAAGGGATGTCATCAGCTAACCTGTCAACACACTTTCTTAATTCCACCTCAAGACCATGCCGGGTTTGGACCACAGTTAGACTACTCACCAAGCTTACTCTACCATCATACACCCTCCGCAACTCCTGCAACTTCCCATCACCCAAGTCCACATCTCCATTCCACACCCCCGAAACAGACTCCATCAATGCCTCCTTAAGGTCAGTAGCATCCAGCTTCAACCAGAATCTACCCTCTGGATTTGCTTTCTTTAGCTGATCAACTGCTGCCACCTGTGAAGGTTATAAAATTAATTTAATATCTTAATTTAATATCACACCAGCACCAGGTTCATCAAAACCACATTAATCCAACTAACCTGAGATAAGCCACAATTTTGATTCTTGTTTTGTGACTTTTTGAGGAGGCTTTCTGTTTATATTGTTTGGTCGTCAATTTTGAATTTGAATAGTCTCAAATATCAGCAGTGAAAAACATTTCTACTATTACTCTGGTTAACTTTTAATCCTGGGTTAGCATTAGCTAGCTTTTGAACAACCTGGTCCAGTATTCCAAAGTAATGACAGTAACTTTAAACTATACACATTCCATACAAAACACATGCTTAATGATCACAAGAAAACAAATTGGAACCTCAAAAACTAGTATTATTGTTTGAGACTGTTCTTAGAGATAATGTTTACTATTAGGTAATTGAAGGTCATTGTGTGTAAATGATATTACTCTTAGTTTCTTCCAGTCACTCCAGACCAGAACTGGATGTTTACAAAAACTCCTTTGAAAGAATACAATGAAACAAACCAGAGACCTGCACATCAGTTGTTGAAGTAAACAATGACTTCTTATCTGTTCTGTATTGAGTTGCTTTACTTGACAGGGAACATTTACATGAGCCTGCATAAAAAGCCAAAAAAAAATGAAATCATGGTACATCAGAAGAACAGAAGGGAACAGTACATGTATATCAATAAAGCTAGCAGTCTTCATTCGTGCATAATTAAAAGAACCAAGTTGATGCTCAGCACAACTGCACTAACAACATGCATTTTATACTAATGGAAGCAAGATTATCACCCATTATACATCTTTCAGAGCACAGAAACGCTAAGTGGGAAAATACTTTTAGACTCAAATTACCTTAAGTGGGTCTCTCATATCCTGTGGATCAAGGCCACTCCACATTGGACCAGCTAAGAGCCTCTGCATTCGTTCCGGGAATTCAGTAACCATGGTTTCATGCCATAATCTAAAGTCTTCAGGTTCTTTGATCTGTAGAAGAGAAAATTAAGATCAAAACTTTGTTGAGAGTGAGCAGAAGAATTTTATAGCAGTTTTAAATATTGGTGGCATGTAAGCAAAGCACTGAAAATAATCAATAAAATTAAGATCAAATCAGTACTAACAATTTCAACACTAACAAGGTACAGACAGAGCAGGCAGGCACATGACATTTGTGCATGTGAAGTATTCATTACAGGCCGGGTTGCATTAACCAAGGCAGCATCTGATGAAATGATATTGTATGTGCTACTAATATTTGCACTACTAAATTAGCATCTCCAGTAACTACACTCTTCCTGATATGACAAACTTATCAAACTTATGAGAAGATACAGACTGGGTTGTTACCTGCATGACATTTGTGCATGTGAAGAATTCCATACAGTACTGCATTAAACCAAATGGCATCCGGTGGATCGGTATAAGGGGACCTGACTTGTCTGGTCTGTCCTGTGCCAGTCCTTGGCAGAATTTAAACACCAAATTCACCTTGTTGTTATCCTCCAACCTCTTCATTGCCTCAAGAGAAAGCTGGATGAATGATCTTGGATTTGATGTGATACCTTTCTTACAAGCTACCCACGTGTACAACTTGTCCAATATGGCTATCACATCGACAAACTCCTTCTGTTCAAACAAGTTAAACATAATGCCTGTAATTGCAGACACAAAGGAATCTCCTCTTGTGCCACGTCCAAGAGATGCCAAGCCTTCCACTACAAGATCACAGATCTGATTAGCGGTAAGGCTCTTCATTTTCCCGAGTAATGCTGGTGAGACACTGAGGGGTTGCCTTTCTTCAGGGGCAGAATGACCTGGCGATTCCTCCATGTAACACTCTACCGTGATACCAAGGGCATCTTCCGCCTCCGACAGTTTTGTATTTACGCTTCAGCTCACACATGACTTGCTGCCGAATACTGCTACCTATGGGAGTTCAAGATATATCTACATTATAACTGTGTGAAATAAAACCCACATCATGCATCAGTGGTGCCCTCAAGGCATGTAGGATACAAACTACATGTATAATAGAATAACATCAGTTTTCGATATAACTAGCAGAAATTCCCGGCATATGAGGAACTAGCCAGAGCTCTTTAAAAACGAGGTAATTTGAAATAAAAGCAAGCAGTTATTGACATTAAATAACAGGCCAATAAGTTGTTGGATATAGTATATTTATATTCCTCCATATTATTAAGAATGAAACATCGTAATATTTTTTTTTGTCACATGGATAACACAATAATTCAAGAACTAATAAAGATGCAGGTATGCACAACTAAAATATTTGGCAAAGGAAAACCCTTGATAAGGAAATTAAGGAAAATAAAATTACAAAAAAGTTACAAAAAATTACTAACAAATTTGGAAAAAAACAGCTAAATCATAATGTTGTCTCAGATATAATAAATAAATAAATACATAGATAAATACATAAATAAATAATAAATAAATAAATAATAAATAATATTAAAAGCGCTTTTAACAGGGTCAATAAATATAAATAAGCGAGCACACGGTGAAATTGGCGCAATANTCACATGGATAACACAGTAATTCAAGAACTAATAAAGATGCAGGTATGCTCAACTAAAATATTTGGCAAAGGAAAACCCTTGATAAGGAAATTAAGGAAAACAAATTTACAAAAAAGTTGCAAAACATTACTAACAAATTTGGAAAAAAACAGCTAAATCATAATGTTGTCTCAGATATAATAAATAAATAAATAAATAAGTAATAAATAATTAATATTTGACTCACAAGATCTTCGAAACTCAGTTCTTATAGTTTCTTGAACGAAAGCGGCAGCTTTATTCCAGTATTCATGGCGATTGCCGAATGTGGGCCATTCAGAGCCATCGTTTTTTGACTCATCAAGGAGAGCAACAAACTGAACCAAGGCGACCTGCTCCTTTTTTTGCCATGAGAAAGATATCCTCGAGGTTGATGGTAACTGTTTCGGACTTTTTGGCGATCTTACCAACCTAGCTCTTTGAAGGAGGCGACTTGATGCCTGATATAGGAAAAACAAAAATTACAAAGACATTTGAAAAGTCTTATTTCAGTTAGCGGAAACTTAGCTGGAACTACATACAAGCCCACGTTAAACTTATAACAGAGAAAAATGATTTATACCTTTCGTGAAGGACTTGCCCTTTCTCCAAAGCCAAGTGTACGCCTGGCGGGTGAGTGACTACTTTCAATGATCTCTTCGCGAGATTTTTTGTCGGCTGATTTGTGTGGAGTGTTGCCAGTCGCCACGTGCGATCGCTTCTGCGATCCATCCATGGTGTATAAAAACAATATTCATCTAAAAGAATGATTCACAGACATTTAAATATACAAAGGGAATTAACGTGAACACATATGAAATATTAAAAGCGCTTTTAACAGGGTCAATAAATATAAATAAGCGAGCACACGGTGAAATTGGCATTCGTATTACAGAATTTGACACCTTCGCTTTGCATTTTTGGCGGAGAAACGGTTGAAAAATACCGAATTTCGTAACGGACAAACCTGTCCAAATCGCGAAGTCAAAAGAGGTCAGAGAGGTCAACTAATATCACATATCTCTTCTCTGCCTACATGAATAATCTTTTCAATGCAAACTCAACTGAAAAAGTCACACTCACCCGATTGTTTAAGAGCAGTCAACCATTCCTTCATTTGCAATGCAAAACAGTGAAACAAAGAGAGGTCCTAAACAGAGAGAATATGAAATCTATTGAGCAGTGAAACATTTCTTTGTGTCATGGAAGTATAAAAAAACAAAGGCGATCTTTTAAACTTACCTGAAGTAAGCTCCGTCGCAGAGAAACGCCAAATAAAATTCACAGTCGAAACCGTCGAAAACTCGAAAGCGTGGGGCATGAAGTGAATAAAAAGCCGCAAAGCGTCATGGGATATCTGAAAATCTCCCCCTTTCATGCCCCGATGGTCCCGACAAAAAGAAAAAAAAGAGAAGAAAATAATTTCGACGGTACAGGTCAATGGTTCTTCTGATGGTTTAACGCAGTCATACTACTCGGTCTTTCAACAACCTGAATAAGACTTTCGAAGGGGAAAATTCTATTAAACGTAATTTTCTTCGAAATGCTTCGAATAGAACAATTGATTTCATTAGGCCCAAATAAGAATCTATAGGTTAAGTGAACTTTAAAGAAAAGAAGACCGGGGTGAGTGACTGGCTGATTGATCGAGTGACTTAGTACCGTTTTAAAACTTCCACCCGTCATGATGCACTTTACGGTTTTAAAGAAAAACGAAAGTGAAAAGCATGGGGACGAAAACAGTTGAATTATTAATTACATTTACCGCAATCCTCACAAGCCAGTACTCTATGACCTAAAAAATATACAAAACTTGGCTACGACGACGACAGTTTTATCCTCATGTTAAAGGATGCCGCCCGTGTAGAGCGCTTTTTGGGGAAACTAGCCCAGCAAACGAGGTACCCCTAGTCGTAAAACATCCAAAACAAGTTCAATTGCGAGATATATATTTAATATTTCGATTCCAGACCTTTTCCTTCTTCTCTGAATTACACTTCTCACAAAGTTCTTCTCTGTTATTCACTGACCTTATCTCTTCTTTTCAAAATGCTCTTCTCACAATTGCTGATTATACGTATTTTCGACCACTTAATTTAAAAGCACATTCACATAATATTTTTCCTTAACAACTAACGGCTCAAAAGATTACTAGGATATGTTCGTCACGTTATTTTTGTCACTACCCATATTTTTCTCTCATGTTAAACTTATACTTAAAATCCTTCAATACAGCTTTCATTGGTAAGCATATAATAGAAAACTATTTACCGAAGAGAAACCTAAGTTTGATCAAATAAGCAGATCACGACTCAATTCTCAACTGTTCTATGATACTGTAAACAAGTTGGAGGTAGCACCCAAATTGAGACAAATATCCTGAACTAAAACTGGATTGATATATCTAAAGGACACCTCAGAACTTTATTTTCTGGAGTTCCGCAAGTAATGCATTTACTGGAAGTTGGAAAATCAACCAAAGCATACTCGTAAGTATAGGTCTCAGAACCTAGCCATGATGGCCCAAAATGGACGGGGCAAAATTCGTCAAATCCATTATCAGTAATTACAGATCACGTAGAGAATCATGCAAATTCATAAACACTTTTTAAATCTTGAACCATTCTTGTCGTATTTTACCGTTTAAAGCAAAGAAAAGGTTAGAAGAAGGGAAAGGAAACAATTTAAAATCTTTCAAAAACCAGTACTCTATGATAAGAACACCCGACAAAATTAACCTGGTTTGACAACAAGCTTATTATCACTATAAATTTACTTTCGTACTTGTATATATTTGACTACAACTGTAATGCCCTGAAATATGGAAACTATCTGTAACTAAATTTGACTGTAAAGCTAGTGCTTTTCAAACACCAAAAACAAAACATTGAGTGAGTAAATGGCTTTAAATTAAAAAAAAGTAATAAAATAAAATAAAACAACTTTTCTTCTGCTTGTTGTCGTCTTGACTTTTCGTCAAGCCTTTACTTGGCCTGCCTTGGCAGCCCAGAATGAGCCTCTGCATGCTCATACAGCTTAACTTTGTTGTAATCTTTGTTATGGCTTGTTATCTCAATTCGGTGATCCACAAAATGATACTCTGTGTAACTGGACAACCTTCTTAGCTCTGCATGCAAAGGAGCAAACAAACTCGAATTAGCGAAACGGGGTCGGGTGCATCAGCATGTAACAAATACAACACTGTTTTAAAAGTGAAACCTGCTAGCACTTATCGCTACCAGCTTCCGAACTAAATTCACTATCCTGGTAAAAAAGAAATATATTCCCTCCCAGGTAAGGTTGTTCGCTGGGTAAATAACTGGATCGTGCCTTTGGGGTTCAGATAGTTTCCGAGTCGTGTTCAACACAATATCCACATGGGGAATATCTAGATAGTCGGAGCTTAGGCCACTGATTCCACTGTAACAGTGACCACTAAAACTTAATCATGTTTCGATGAACCTATTCATGTCTCCTTACTGCGAGTCATCAATATCCTAAACGCATAATAAAAACGAAGAACTTACTTGTAAGTAGTTTTGAAGTCACATCGGTAATGGCCACCTCCTTCCAGCAACAGAGCACTCCATCACGCACATACTTTTTCTCAGTGGATGACTCCCATTTCACGGTCTTCTTCTGCATAACTGGACTATTGGCAGGAAAGTTCACCCCATCAAATCGAATTTCATAGAGAAAACAGTTGTCGACGTTTTTCTTCATTCTGATAAAAACGAAATAAAACTTAGTCAGCGTTATCATGCAAAGATAAAAGGAACACTTTGTCATTTACAGGCATAGATGGTAATATAATTTAATACATGACACCAGATGAAACCAGTGGCGATTTTTCCCTTTTATTATACACAGACAGAAACATTTTGGAAAAATGCCTTAAAGTGCATGTAACCCCAAAATATATTATTATCGGTATTAACTATATGCATTTTGTGGAGCAAAATACCGCAACCAGTTGTGTTGTTGGTTAAAACCGCTATTTTTCATGAATTGTTAAGTCGGGATTATTTAGCACACGACCGAGGCCAACGGAGACTAGGGCTGGTGACGTCAGTTTTGAACTGAGGAGGAAAAGGACTATATATNATTTTTTTTTGTCACATGGATAACACAGTAATTCAAGAACTAATAAAGATGCAGGTATGCTCAACTAAAATATTTGGCAAAGGAAAACCCTTGATAAGGAAATTAAGGAAAACAAATTTACAAAAAAGTTGCAAAACATTACTAACAAATTTGGAAAAAAACAGCTAAATCATAATGTTGTCTCAGATATAATAAATAAATAAATAAATAAGTAATAAATAATTAATATTTGACTCACAAGATCTTCGAAACTCAGTTCTTATAGTTTCTTGAACGAAAGCGGCAGCTTTATTCCAGTATTCATGGCGATTGCCGAATGTGGGCCATTCAGAGCCATCGTTTTTTGACTCATCAAGGAGAGCAACAAACTGAACCAAGGCGACCTGCTCCTTTTTTTGCCATGAGAAAGATATCCTCGAGGTTGATGGTAACTGTTTCGGACTTTTTGGCGATCTTACCAACCTAGCTCTTTGAAGGAGGCGACTTGATGCCTGATATAGGAAAAACAAAAATTACAAAGACATTTGAAAAGTCTTATTTCAGTTAGCGGAAACTTAGCTGGAACTACATACAAGCCCACGTTAAACTTATAACAGAGAAAAATGATTTATACCTTTCGTGAAGGACTTGCCCTTTCTCCAAAGCCAAGTGTACGCCTGGCGGGTGAGTGACTACTTTCAATGATCTCTTCGCGAGATTTTTTGTCGGCTGATTTGTGTGGAGTGTTGCCAGTCGCCACGTGCGATCGCTTCTGCGATCCATCCATGGTGTATAAAAACAATATTCATCTAAAAGAATGATTCACAGACATTTAAATATACAAAGGGAATTAACGTGAACACATATGAAATATTAAAAGCGCTTTTAACAGGGTCAATAAATATAAATAAGCGAGCACACGGTGAAATTGGCATTCGTATTACAGAATTTGACACCTTCGCTTTGCATTTTTGGCGGAGAAACGGTTGAAAAATACCGAATTTCGTAACGGACAAACCTGTCCAAATCGCGAAGTCAAAAGAGGTCAGAGAGGTCAACTAATATCACATATCTCTTCTCTGCCTACATGAATAATCTTTTCAATGCAAACTCAACTGAAAAAGTCACACTCACCCGATTGTTTAAGAGCAGTCAACCATTCCTTCATTTGCAATGCAAAACAGTGAAACAAAGAGAGGTCCTAAACAGAGAGAATATGAAATCTATTGAGCAGTGAAACATTTCTTTGCGTCATGGAAGCATAAAAAAATAAAGGCGATCTTTTCAACTTACCTGAAGTAAGCTCCGTCGCAGAGAAACGCCGAATAAATTTCACAGTCGAAACCGTCGAAAACTCAAAAGCGTGGGGCATGAAGTGAATAAAACGCCGCAAAGCGTCATGGGATATCTGAAAATCCCCCCTTGCTTTGAACGGAATATTATCTGGATTCATTTTACTATTTTTTATTCTTCTGTGACCATGTGCATAACTTTGAATTCCATCCCTCATTATCACTCTCTTGTCATCATCACGCGCAAGGGTCACCTTGTTGACCATCTCTGTGAAAATCTCATGCCGATGTGATCTGATCACGTTCCTCTTTCTCATCTGAAGTTTTTCCTTGAACAAGCAGTCTTTATAATCCTGATGTGAAATTTTCTTTTTTACAACAGACTTTTTCACTCCCTTGCACTTCTCTTCTTTTACAATGTGCATTTTGAAACTGTATAATTTAGCTCTTGATCCAACGAACTCTTCAATGATCTTCCCCACCGCCTAATCTTTCATCATTCCAATGACTTTCTTGTTGCATCTTTGAATCCCACTCCGATGATCTGCTGGAAAATCACTTGTGTCAAACTTACCTTCAACGTTTGACTTGATGTCTTCATAGAAATCTTCAGTCTCAAGCTCATACATCAGACTGTCGATGTCCATGAATAATAATTTTGCCCTGGATCCATACTTCTTATTCATGTAGTCATAATGAAAGTCGTACATCAACGTCTTACTTATTTCGAGAATACTCATTCCACAATAGACCGGTTTGTTGAGGACCAGCTTCATTCGTTTCATGTGAATCGCGACCAAATTTCATCGAATATTGTCAAATGCTTGAAATTCGGTCTCGCTGATAACTTTTCTGCGGACTTCCTATTATTGACTAACTTCACATCGACTCGTTTCCTGATGTTCTCCATCGTCTTCCCAAAGACGGAGTTGTTCATCAACTTGAAGAAATCTTCTTTGAAGCTGTTCTTTGCTCCTTTCCTGAGATCCGCGTTTTTCTCAATATAACTTTACAACCATGGCTTCTCATCAAATCAGATCCCATGATGAATCTTTTTAAACTTCATTCCAAGCGTGAGGCACTGCTTCATGAAGTTCCTCAGGGTACTCCATGTCCACCTCGAGGATGCAAGGAATGTTTTCCCAGTTTTCCATCTCTCTCTCAGTCATCCATTTGAATCCACCCACTGGAAGTGGTTCACACATCGCCCATCCATAAAGATTATTGCATCGAGATATTGAATGAACTTGCTCGGTTTGGTACGATCATAATCTTCACCCATGTATTTATTATTGGCCCTTCCAAAATGATTCGAGATCATTGAGATTCCTCCATGCGTTCCCCTTTCAAATAGAAGTAACATGTCAACGTCGGTCAACAATTCAAGATCCACTCCAGTCATTTTCAAAGCGGCATCCCAGGCCAAACTGGGGGCGGTGAAATACCAAGCGGGATTGAGATCATAATTCTCAAGACAGACGTTTCTGAATTCTTCAAAGACGTCAGTGAGGAGGAGGACATCGGATTTGAGATACAGATCGTGATATTCACCCAAGTTCTCAATCTCAAACTCATTCCACACTCTCTCAGCGTGATGGTAATCCTCATCAGAGATGTGAGAATCAAATAGAGTCTCAAATAAAATGCTTCTTTAGGAGGCAATTGATTTTCTTTGAACTTTTTGAAATCACTCATGTAATCGTAAGGATAAACTCCCTTTCTCGTGATCAACTGAATCTTCTCAGGGAAATATTTCTTGGTTAAGCAGAGATGTGTGACAATGGATTCACAGACAAGATTACTGACGAGACCATCAAGGGAGGAGGCCATAAATTTGAAGCTATCTATGAATCTGATCTCATGCTTGATTTTGACTTCTTTTCCATCCTTGTTTTCATAAGATCCCACTTCAATTTCTTTGCTGAAGCTGAGGTATTTTTTCTCATTATTCGGAGTGCATGTCATGTCCCCCTTGCTCTTGCCGAGATTCTTGATGAACAAATGTGAGTCGTAATTGGTGAGGTTATGAAATATCACGGGAGTGAACTTTGGCTTCTTGAAATTCAAGTTACATATTTTATGCACGGCTCCTCGATATTTTCCCGTGAAATGACAGTGATCTCTGACCTTGTCAATGACTCCATTTTATTCAATGGTAAATCACAGATCCAACATTTCTCTGCTCGGTTGAACTCGAGCCTTTCCTCATCAGTGAATATCATCTTCTTGGAAAAGTTGAATTCTTTGTGAATCTTTTTGATATCTCTTTCAAGCCTCTCAACGAAGATCCGACTGACGTCTTCATCTTCACTCTCTGCTCTGTAGATGACAGGTTCTTGAGACCACATCTCATCGTCGAAGCAAACTATGTGGTAACAAAACCCACATGGCATGTGCTTTTGATCGCTCCGTGAAACTCTTTTCACCATTGGGTTCACAAGTGTTGATCAGTTTGACCACTGCTTCAAATTCCACGTAGATGACAAAGGGAACCCTTATCGAGCGACAATGATTTTTGAATTTAATCTTCTCACCATCCTTAGGCATGATAATATTCTCCTCCTCATTTTTCCAACAATCTGTTTCATGCCTTTCCAATCCATCTTCATCGTTGAAGTGATTCATGCAATTTCTGCAGAAATACAATTTTCCATGATAAGCTGTTGCATGTATTGATACCAATCTGCTGAAGTCCTTTATCAAGCAGTAGTGACCGCACTCTTTTCCTTTCCCATCACTTATGAACAATAAATTTACTGCATTCTTTTTCTTGCTGAATCTCTTAGGATATATCCTCCTTGCCTCATAACCGTATACATTGACTGAGATCCCCTGATTTCGTTTTTCAAATGTGGATATATCATCTATCTTCACGGGAAATTCAATTCCAGTGAAATCAAGATTGTTTTCATATTCCCTGAGAGAAGAAAGTCTTTCGGGATGATTTTTAGAGGGATGCAAATGCCTCAGAACGGACCATTTGAAACATTGGTTATCATCCTTGTTTTGGATATTAATCACGGCTTTCTTTCCTCTAAGGAATTTTGGCAGTTTGATATAAGATGAACCTCTCAGGGGGATGTAATCAACCAGATGAACGTCAAGAGATAGGACTCTCTGAAACCTCCAATTGCTCCCTTGTTGATTGAAATTTTGAATTCTTTCTTCAATGGTGTCCACCATGACGTTGAATAGCTCGGATTCATCGGTCGCCTCAAGATTCACGATCGTCTTGGTTTGGAAATGCGCTTCAAGAATTTTAATCTCTTCACTGAATAATTCTTGTCTTGTCATCTTGGAATTTAAGATCAACATCACCCTTGTCTGACGATTCTCTCTCATGAGTCGCAATACTTCTGTTCTGCATCTTTGCATGAACTCCCTTGGTCCACTGAATGATGGACCTAAAATCCTAAATTGTCTTGTGAAACTGCACAATGCACTTGCAGTCTGAGTGACCGTGAATTGGGGGTGTCGTCTATTTATCTCTTTGATCCTGTTGATTTTCATCTCTCGCTCTGTTTCCTCCAATTCCAAGGTCAACTGACACGACCTGGCCCAGAATGCCCATTATCTAACTACTGCTAATTATAAAAAAGTTGTGATACTAATTATAGGAATTTTCCCACTGTCTGTCTCATGCTATGCAGCTCAGCAATGGCGCTTTCATGCTCTTTTCAGAGAATAACTGAAACAGACTGCTCATTTGATAGGCTAGATAAAAGCAAGAGCCTTGAAATTGTTACTTTACACAATTGCTCAAAGGATATTTAGAATCATTGTTCTCACTGATCATTTTCTGGAGTGACAACGGAAAGTGAACTTATACTTGCTAGAGTGGGTATTTTCTGCGAGGACAAGACGCAGAGATTAGACACAATCTGCCCACACCACAGGCATGAACTCAGACTTAGCTGGTGGCGAAACACTTTCAAGTGCTGTGTGCCACAAATCGTATCCCAACATGGAGCAAATTGAATGTGAGAGGTCTCAGAGATACGGTTAAGAGAAGGAGCATTTTTACGTATTTGAAAGATCAGGAGGTCAATTTTTATTTTCTGCAAGAAACGTTTTCCAAAGTAAGCAACGAAGCCGTTTGGAGAAATGAATGGGGAGGTGAAATTTACTTTTCTCACGGGACTTCTCATAGCAAAGGTGTTTGTATCTTGATTAATCGAACGGTAA